AATCACGTCTTTTAAATGATTTATTTTATTGTTCTTTGTTGCTTTAATCTATTTTTTATGGCAATGTTTAAGCAAATCACGTCTTTTAAAGTATTTATTTTATTGTTCTTTGTTGCTGTAAGCTATTTTTTATGGCAATGTTTTTCATATTAATTTACATATCAAGGTGTGGGAACTGTGGGTGAAGGGTGGCGGAACAGTTTCTAGCTTGACGTACGGAGGCATTGCGTATCTACGGGTAGTGTCAGAAGAAAAGTGTAAATATAACTAGTTTTGTAAATAGGGTTGCCATTTGCCCAGTTTCTTACCAGAGCAATCGGTTTTAGTGAGCTACTCAGGTTCTCCGAATGCGTTGTTTTTATCATATACTGTACAGGGATTTCGATTGGCTTTCAGCACCACCACTGCAGAAATTGTTCCAACGTCAATGCTACCCACACAAGTTTCGTGCTTGAAAACACAGCCTTATTTCAATTATAAGAAAGAGGGGTTAGTTATTTTGTATTTCTCTTCACGGTAAGAGCTCAAACGTTTTCATATCATTCGGCTTTTATAGTTATGTATGTACAGACATTTTCAAACTTAAAGTTTAAGAACAGTTAGATCTATAAAAACATATCAATTTTATAAGATATTGAATTAGTTTTTAACCTTTTTTCTAAAGCTGCCCCACAGTGACACAGCGGTATGTCTGCGGACTTACAACACTAGAATCCGGGTTTCGATACCCGTGGTGGGCAGATCATAGATAGCCCATTGTGTAACTTTATGCTCAATTACAAACAAACAAACAATTCTAAAGCTACAAATTATAAACTTTCAGTTTGTGAATCTCGTTAACCCCAAATTCTAATTGATTGTCACCTTAAGATATTTGTTTGCGACGGTGCTGGAATGAATTGATAAAACTAAACTTGTCCCTCCCAGACCCTACAATCCGGGTTTCGATACCCGTGGTGGGCAGAGCACAGATAGCCAATTGTGTAGCTCTGTACTTAATTACAAACAAGCAAAACTAAACTTAATGATACAAGTAACTTATATCAGAAATAAATACTTTATAAATGTCATTAGTATTATGAATCTTGGTGGTAACTTAGTAATTTTATTCAGAATAGTTGGTAGGACTACTTACAACTATACCAAATGTTCCATTTAAAGTTCAACACTCACTTATAGGCCTTTAAATCTCTATATGAACACCGTACTGTAAAATGTTAAAATCACGTTCTAAGTACATTCATAACATAAGAACAAAGTAATATATATTTACTTGATCCTTTGTTTCTATCAAATTATACTAGAACTCAAAAGAAATCTGCAGTGTTGTGGTAAAAATTCAAATTTCTCCAATTTCATTATTATATGTTAATGAAAAATAAAGTGTGTCCAAATTTGGAAATAATTATCCAGACTGCTTCTTGATACCAAAAGTGCGTACATATTTATATATATATACATATCTAACTATGAGGAATCTCTACAAATGACTGTACTTTCATTTTTCAATAACTAGAAAAATTACAAAATTAATTTTTACATAAATATTTCGAACCTATCGAACCTACGAAATAGCGTTAATCCTAGAAATTTGATATTTTTGTTTTTAAGGTTTGCATTAACATGTTTATTCTTTTGATCATTAGGAAAGGGCAAATTAAAGAATAACAACATTTAAAATGATTATAATATTATATATTAAAGGCAATTACATCTGTATTATATCCCCCCCCGAAAATACTCTAGCCAATTGTAGACCAAAATATGGCATAAACTTTAAAAACAAGATTTTAGGTGTGTTCTTTTTTTATCCATCTTTTAACACCTTAAGATTCTAAGAGAAATTATTTTTAATTTCACGTGAATAGAAGTACGAGAAGTTTTTTTTTTTTAAATTGCTCTTACTAAACTATTTTTTCGTAACGTTACAGACGTCCAGAAAGTTAAATATCTTGCAGTTGCTCAATATATAACATATAAAATGTTGTCAGACTCAGATTAGTAGGTAGGCGAGGCATAAGATCAATAAAGTGTTATATTCATTTTACTTTCACTAAATTCAACTGTTCCGCGCTCTCCTTATAGCTTTTGTTTCCCGTTACAGGCCCGGAAACTGTGTTCATAGACAATGTGATTAACTACAAGACACCTCACTAAAAAAAAAAAAAAAAAAAAATAATAAATAAAAAAAAAAGAAGAAGGCGAGGAAAAATTAAAATCCTCTAAATCTAAACAGTTCGAAAGATACACGTATAGGCATGCTAAAGTTTACTATGTCTCGGCAATGCTCGTTTATTATCATTTGTGGATAGATTATTTTTCTACAATTTAATAGAAAGTAATTGGATGAAAAAGCCATGGGTTTGAATTAACTTAATCAATATTTAAAACGTTAAACACAACCAAGAAAACAACATTCGAATAAGGTTTGGTTTGAATTTCGAGCAAAGCCATACGAGGGTTATCTGCACTAGCCGTCCCTAATTTAGCAGTGAAAGACAAGAGGGAAGTCAGCTAGTCATCACTTACCGCCAAACTCTTGGGCTAATCTTTTACTAACGAATAGTAGGATTGACTGTCACACTATAACGCCCCCACGGCTGAAAGGGCGAGCATGTTTGGTGGGACGGGGATTCGAACCCGCGACCTTCAGATTGCGAGTCAAGTGTCGGGCCATCATTCGAGAATGAGCCATAAGCGCATTTTGGGATCCTTCTTCATATGACAGAGTTTCGATACTCGTGGTGGGCATAGCACATATAGGCCATTTTGTAACTTTGTGCTTAACCATAAACAAAGAAACAAATCTTGATATGACTTAAGAATCTAACCTATAAGTAAGATTATTGCAATATAGAATATTTTAAACATTTTTGTTTCTTTCGTGTTTATCATTATACTAGTGTCTTGATAGCTTTCACTTATAAAAAAATAAATTATTTATTTTGTCAGAGTTTTGAATATAATTCGACATTTTTATCCTCTGTAAAGAAGACATACGAAATGGTTCAAAGTTACGGTCGAACTTGAACCTGGAAGTAATCAACTGAACAATTTAACTGCCCTTGTGTTGTACAAACAAGGAAGGATTATGGTGGAGTGCCCCCCCCCAAGTGGCACAATGGTATGTCTGCGGACTTATATCACTAGAAACCGGATTTCGATACCAGTGATGGACAGAGCACAGATATCCCTTTGTGTAGCATTGTGCTTAATAACAAACAACCTGGTGGGGTGTCATTTTGTGGATTTCATTCTGAATATTTGC